CATCACTAATAATCTTTACTCTAGGATGATTGTTTTTCTGAGTGAAGTGTTAGATAATTTGCATTTGTGGTTTATTCATTTTAGTAGGTTAAGATATTTTATATGATATTTGTTTAGACAAATTTTAATTGGTTTTTATTAAGACAGTTTTACGAATCGCTGTTGAAAGATATATTTTACTCATGTATAATTTTTTAGATCGCATTATTGAAAAAAACAATAAATAAAATTCTAAAAAATATCGAATGATTATCCTCGCGAAGATCTTTTCGTGAAGCTACTTCTCGGAGCTTTTAGTCGGAAAGCACTTATATCAGCCATGGTTTCTTCTAATTCATAGTCGCTATCTTCTAGAAACTCTTAGAATTTTCTTTTTCTTTTCTTCGGGACCCTTCTAATTTTAGAACTTTTATATTTATAGGTCCTGCTAAACCCTAAGTTATTTTATATCAATAATGACGCATCATTATTAATTTCTAATTCCATAAATATTATAGTTGACGTGGCAGTATCGTTTGAACGATAATCATCTAAGAAATTTATTTTATCCAAAATATCGTTTTAGTTCATTATCATAATATTTAAGGGTTTTGCCTTTTAAGGCATTGCGTAATTTTGATGTTTACATCTATATAAAGAATTAATCATTTTGGAAACAATATGTTAAAATTTATAATAACAAAGATGAAAACAAATCGATCATAATAGACATCTATATAACCCTAAACCGCTAGTCTCATTACCAACCGGTTACATGTCCTCCATCGCCATCGCCAGTGTCGTGCCTTGTTTTTCGGGAAACTAAGGCAATATTTGAAAATATGGCTTATTTACATTTAAATTAAAATATTATACAAAAAAATGAAATATTCTTATATATATAAGAAAACAAATATTTAACATTTTTTGTAAGATGTATGATTTTTGGTGTGAAGTCATTTGATAGTTGATACTAAAATATATTAATTGTAACTGTAAAGTTAAAAAATTCTATAATAATAAATTTAAATAAATTAAGAAAATTATATTGACAAAAATTATTGTAATTACAGAATCTGGAAAAAAAAAAGAGTAAATGAATACAAACAAGAAATGGATATTTAAAATTTAAAATCTAATAAAAAGCGGAGACATAGACCAGAAAAAGTCAAATAAGTTTATAATTATAACCAATAATCAAAACTAAGATAACAAAAAAAAATTTTATAGTTGGAATCCCCGAAATTACAAATATGAATTGGAGCCTAAGACATTTGCCTTTTTTGTTGTTGTACACTTAGCACGGCTCTGGCCATCGCCATCGCCCCCTCTAATGTTTGTGCTCATAACATCAACAATAATCCTTAATTAGTCGAAGGAAGTTGTGTTTGAGTGAAGTGTGTAATCCTTCGCATTTGTGCTTTCTTCATTTTAAAAGNCACAATTTGCATTTTTCATAACATCATCAACAATCTTTAGTCTAGGAAGTTTTTATTCCGACTAAAGTGTTTGATCATTTGCATTTGTGTTCTCTGTATCAAAAGATATATAGCCCTGATTCCTTCACTACTTACCATATAGTTCTTGTCTTCTTTTTTTTTGCTAAACAGATAGTTCTTGTCTTTTGGATCGGTAACTGGAGAACAGATAGTTGCTAAACAGATAGTTGACACTAATTTGAACAGTTAGTTTAGATGACATATATACCTAGCACAGCTGAGTGGTTTTATCTTGTAACGAAATGTTGTGTTTTACCTTAAAGCAAGAGGTCGGAACTGGCACAATATTGGCCTCATTACCCACATGCAATGCTATCCTAAGCAGCCTTAGTAGAGGAAATGAGTTGTAAGTTTCTTGAACAATATGTCCAAGGGAAAGAGATTAAAGAGGAGATGATGGTAATCCTACTCTAGTAAAAGTAAATTTTGTAAATAAGTATTCCACACCTCATAAAAGATAATCATGAGACAAAATCTAACCTAAGAGAATAATACTCTCTAGAGAATATATTTTAAAATACATAAACATCTTCATGTTTATTCATTTGGTTATATTTTTCTTACGTTCTATCAAATTCATTATTACTTGAACATCAAAAAGCTAC